ACTCCCCCCCAAAAAGGCTTTACCCCCCAAAGAAAAACAAACACTTTCACCATCACACCTATTACTGTCTTTGCAGAGGTGCAGAGTTATTTTATTCAGGATTAAAAAGATATTTTGAGTCCTTGTCATACCCTTTTTTCTTTCTTTTATCATTCCTTCACTCATTTTGGTAACTTAATCTCAATATGGTTGAATAATGTATTATACTCTATTGTATTATGAAATATTCTGCTTTTATATATAATCTTTCCACCATTATTTTATCATGTAATCCAAAGACAAAAGTTAGGGCTTACATTTCATGGGTGGGTGGTTGAGACAGTGAAGGAACACGGGAAAAAATCTCAAGATAGTACAACAGAGTTCCATTCCTAAGACCACATTGGTAAACAAATTCGTCACTAAGTGAGGAGCATACTATAATGGTAGTGGGTTTGTGTCATCCAGCTTTGATATTGTTTTAATGTCACATTTGCACCATTTATAACATTTCTGGTATACAGTGGACCCCCGGTTAACGATATTTTTTCACTCCAGAAGTATGTTCAGGTGCCAGTACTGACCGAATTTGTTCCCATAAGGAATATTGTGAAGGTAGATTAGTCCATTTCAACCCCCAAACATACACGTACAAACGCACTTACATAAATACACTTACATAATTGGTCGCATTCGGAGATGATCGTTATGCGGGGGTCCACTGTATTTTTAAATGTTTATACAGCAGTGTACTGTATATTGTAATAAACATAATTAAGAAAATCAGCTGTAATATGTATTATTTACGTATGCATACTGGTCAGAGAGCCCGTCGTAAGTCCGAGTCGTCGGTAAACGAGTATACCGCTAAGTGAGGAGAGGCTGTATTTACTCCACTGACATCTCTGACACCAGTAGAGCAAATGTAATGCATTAATATGGTGATTATTATGGACAAGGTAGAATTTTAGATTCTGATCATTCAGCTTTCATATTATTTTCTAGAAGTATAAATGGGCATACTGGATGCACATTTAACAAATTATTCTGAATTTTCAGCTTTTAAGTCATTCCAGTACACGTAACCAGCATGGACCTGAGGCTGTCTTATACCTTATGCTTATGGTAAATTATCGTAAACATGAGATGACCAACCCATACACTGTCAATCTGTCTCTACTGGATGATGAACTCATCCTCAATGGTTATGGACAGGTGAGCAGCTGGCAGCTTTTTTCTGTGAGAATGTATCATAAATTTTAGATATTCTTTTATCAAGAGCATTTTAAAATCACCATGAAATATTGGTTCAAGGTTTTAAGTGTTTACTTTGTTTTGTCTTGTTCTATTTTTTTCCCAAAGACTAGTGTAACATGTGTTGCCTTTAATATTTATTTGATGACTACTAGCCTGTTGTCATTATTCATATATACATTCTTGATCTTTCTTTCTTTCTTTCTTTCAACACACCGGCCGTATCCCACCGAGCGGGGTGGCCCAAAAGGAAAAACGAAAGTTTCTCCTTTTACATATAGTAATATATACAGGAGAAGGGGTTACTAGCCCCTTGCTCCCGGCATTTTAGTCGCCTCTTATGACACGCATGGCTTACGGAGGAAGAATTCTGTTCCACTTCCCCATGGAGATGCATTCTTGATATTATATAATTTTTTCATAGGTTTAACAAATAACTACAAAACATGCAGTTAAATAAGCTAAAGAGAGAGTATGAAATTAAGTTCATTACAGAAATTACCTACTTATGTTCATATAAAAAAAAAATTAAAAGTTTTAATCTACAGAAAATTTTGTCAGGTTTTTCACAGTTTAGTTTTTACATTACACAGGTGATCACAGCTTCATTGGCAGACTTCAATCATAAATACTCTGCACACTTCATGGAGCCTCAGGGTTCTGGATGGTTCGCATCTCTCACTTCAATGGTCGGCTCTATGTTCTTGTCAGAAGAAATGGCTACACGCAATGAGCACATAAAGTAACGTATATTAAAAGCATAACTAGTAATTCCTGCAAACATTACAGTGGACGAGTTTGGGAGGGCGTGTAAAGGTAGAAAGTTGAAAGTGAACATAGATAAAGGAAAGTGATGAGGGTATCAAACTAGTATTTAGATAGAGAAAATTTGGATATCACTTTGGAGGGAGGGAGCATGGAAGAAGTGAAGGTGTTCAGATATTTGGAAGCTGACTTGTCAGTAGATGGGTTTATGAAGGATGAGGTTAACCATAGAAATGATGAAGGAAAAAAGGTGAGTGATGTGTTGAGGTATCTGTGGAGACAAAAAACGTTATCCATGGAGGCAAACAAGGGAATGTATGAGAGTATGGTGGTACCAACAATCTTATACGGGTATGAAGCATGGGTTGTAAATGCTGCAGCGAGGAGGAGGGTGGAGGTAGTGGAGATGTCATGTCTAAGGGCAGTGTGTGGTGTAAATATTATGCAGAGAATTCATGGTGTGGAAATTAGGAGGAGGTGTGGAGTTACTAAAAGTATTAGTCAGAGGGCTGAAGAGGGATTGTTGAGGTGTTTGGTCATTTAGAGAGAATGAACAAAGTAAAATGACATGGTGAGCATATAGATCTGTAGGGGAGGGAAGGAAGGAAGGTGGGGTAGGGTTGTCCTTGAAAAGGCTGGTGGGAGGAGGTAAAAGAGGTTTTGTGGGCGAGGGGCTTGGGCTTCCAGCAAGTGTGCGTGAACGTGTTAGATAGGAGTGAACAGAGATGAATGGTTTCTGGGACCTGACGAGCTGTTGGAGTGTGAGCAAGGTGATACTTTGTGATGGATTTTGGGAAACCGGTTAGCCGGACTTGAGTCCTGGAAATGGAAAGTACAATGCCTGCACTTTAAAGGAGGGATTTGGGATATTGGCAGTTTGGAGGGACATCTAAACTGTCGTATCTGAATGCCTCTGCAAAGACAGTAATTATGTGTGAGTGATGGTGAAAGTATTGAATGATGATGAAAGTTTTTTTCTTTGTTTTTGGATCACCCTGCCTTGGTGGTAAATGGCCGACATATTAAAAAATACATATATAACATCCCTTTTTTATTATAGTACTGTATATCAGTAGGGTAAGACAACATCAGTGGTTCATTTATAGTACAATAGAACCTCTGTATCCACTGATTCAGTATCTGCTGTTTCAATTATTCATGGTTTACTGTGGCCCAAAAATACCTCTTAATTTGGCATAATAATAGCCCCAAAGTGCAAAAGTAGAGAAGCTGGCAGTTCTTCAGAGCCCAAAAGAAACCATGAGTGAAAAAGTCATAATTCTCCACTTGTTGTGCATAATTTATCATCTAAGCTTTATAATAGGTATGTATAGGACTTACATTTAGGGTTTGCTGCTATCTGTGGTTTCGGTCTCCATGGGTCCTTGGAACATATCCCCCGTGGATATAGGGTATGCTTTCTGAATTGCTTATCAGGTTTAATTCATTTAAATAATTTTTTCTTTTAGATTCTTAAGTTTGCATAATTATATTTGCATATAAAATGATTAGCACCACATAAAACCATTTAGTGTAACATAGGTTAACAGCAGATTTTCCTTACAGGGCAAATGACTCATTTTTGTTGGCATTATATGAAGCAGTTCACCTTTTAAGCGCAAACTTTCATCAACTGGCCCTCACAACTGCTACCAAGACCCTTCCACACCACCTCCCCAGCCAACACAATATATCGTGAGGTATCACACCACCATTCCAGAATTCTCCCATCAACCAAATCCATCACCAACAGGGAAATGAGAAGCTCAGTTTCACCAACAATATTCTATTAGTAACTTCTATCTTTAGAATACTGGTAAGGAATCTTTCTTGAAAGGGGTATATAAAGTATTTCCAGTGTATATTTCCACCAAGATAGTACATATATGGTCATCACCAATTCCAGCTGCTAATACGTAAGTGTTTTCCATTTTGTAAGGGAGGTAAATCGCAGAATGAGTGGAGCTCGAACCCAATGCAGGGGCAGTCTTGCAGCTCACTGTCTTGCAGTAAATGTGACTGAAGTCACAGTGTTGCGTCCGGTCTTATTTCCATCTTGTCGGTAATTATATACTATTCTGTACTACAAACTACTACTGCTATCTACTACCACCAACCACCTCTTCCTGCACTATATATAGCCGTCCTGCCACTTCTGTAATTTGACTTTGTCAATGTCCAAGTCGGACCGAAAACGTTGTCTGTAGAGCTTCTCTCTTTTATGTGCGTTTATTTGTGTATCATTCTCGCTGCTTGATTTGAAGCCGCTAAATTTTGAGTATATAACGTCAAAAACAGTGCTAGTAAGACGTATATATATGACCAAAAACAGTCCAAAAGGTGTGAAAGATGATTTAATTCCGTCCAATGTATTACACTTTCATAATACTAACAGTGAAATTTAGGGCACAAACACACTAGGAATATAACCCAGGTAACCCAGTTTATCCCTAAGTTTTGCCTAAGATAGGAGCTCTAATTGAAACAGTGTATCATGCCAAGACATTAACCATTCCCATTAACTAAAAGAAACTAATTGTTAATATTGTTATATGTTTTGTAGCCACCTCATTATAAATCTAATTAATCACTTCAGTTACCTAGTATACAAAAGGTAAATAAAAATGTACTGCTCCATAACCTGTGTCAGTATAAAGTAAGAATTTAAGGCAAATTACGTGCTTCCACAATATGCCTAGCATGCTAAGGCACCTTCTTTTGTGATTAGTATTTATAATATGTAAACCACAGAATGTAAGCTTTTAAGGAAAACAAACATTTTCATATTCAAAAGTCAACAGTGCGAATAAATTATGTAGTTATTATACATAGCCTTTAGAAGACCAAAGTAGTAGAAAAAATATAATAAATAACAATTATGTAGTCTTACTTATTTCCATGTTTTAAGGACATAATTGTAATGTTGTAAATATTCCTTGTATCATAGCCTTAGAAGACCAAAATATTAAAAAAAAAAAAAAAAGAATAAAAGCAGTCATATTATATATACAGTGGAACTCGGTTTTCGTACGGGCCGCACATCATACAATTCGGATTTAGAACACGTTTTTGGGTGAAATTTTGGTCCAGATTTCGTACCTCGATCCGGAAATTGTACATATCATACGTGTCCGCCCACCGGAATGCCATCAGCCTGGCTTTGTCACTGGTTGAGTGAGCATTCATCCGAAACATTTTGCAATTTTGGTGCTTATTTATTAATTGCGACCGCGAAATAAGCCACCATGGGCCCAAAGAAAGTTCCTAGTGCCAGCCCTTGGTAAAGAAGGTGTTGTGGAATGTATTGTGTCGTTGGGGAAGTCCATGTCGTGGATGTGAGTGGCCAGGATGTGGAAGAGTTGGTGGAGGACCACAGGGAAGAGCTAACACTGAAGAGCTGCAAGACCTTCATCTGGAACAGCAACAGACCACAGCTGAGGAAATTGCTTCAGAGGAGGAGGAAGAAAGAGGAGAGAAGGTGCCTTCTTCAGTGATTAAGGACATAAGTACAAAGTGGAATGAGTTGCAAACTTTTGTTGAAAAATATCACCCTGACAAAGCTGATACAAGTCGTATCTGCAACATGTTCAGTGACAATACCTTGTCCCATTTTAGGCAAATTTTAAAGAGATGCCAGAAATGGAGCTCTCTGGACAGATTTTGAGTGCAACAGGGGTCCCCTGCCCGTAAAAAAAAGAAGGCAAATAATCCCAGAGAGGGCTTTGATACCTAAAGTCCTTATGGAGGGGAATTTACCTTCCAAACAATAACTCAACTCCCTCTCCCCTCCTCGCCTTCAGTACGCCAATGAGAGTCTTCAATAAAGGTATGTAATGTTCATTTATCATTAAAATTAGTCATTTATGTTTATTTCTCATTGTTTTCTGTATGCAAAACTATAGTTATTCTTTAAAAAATTTATTGTTAATATTTTTGGGTGTCTGGAACAGATTAATTGTGTAGTTACATGATTTGTTATGGGAAATATTAATTCGGTTTTTGTACGTTTCGGTTTTAGACCGATATTCTGGAACGGATTAAGTACAGAAACTGGAGTTCCACTGTACAGCGATTATTCCAAGGGAAGCAGTGTTTGAAGTGCTAAAACACCTTGAAACAATCTAATATTATAAAAAATTAGTATGTACACAGGGCCCCCCCCTTTTTGGGTTTTGCCTTACGGCATTCCCCTTTTACAGCGTCTTTTTAAAAATTTTTGGGGCCAAAACTTTCTATACGGCAAGTGGTCTTTCA